GCCATAGCACCGCACGCGGCAAGACCCGCTACGGTCTGCAAGCTCGAAGCAGTACATGCGACGCGGGATGAGGTGAGCGGTGTAATTTCGTGTCTTTCAGACTCGTTCAACAGGCCGTTCGACGACGTGTCAGATTGTTATGCTAAGACATGGCTGCCTGTCGCGCTCACCGCTCAGCGCCAGCATCCAGCAAGCACTGGGCTCCCGCAGCATCGTATTGTGGCCTCGTGAGGGTCTGTTCTTGATTCTGAATACTTTTCGAGCTTCAACGCCATCACATTCCTTTGTACCTGCTAACCCTCATGACGATGAATTGACCGGCGCAAGCGCAGCCCTTGCTTCCTTCTCTCACCATCACCATGCGCGCTCAGTGCGCGCTTGCTCGGCTCCGACTATAGATGACGATCAGGCCTTAGCTAACGGATTAGCTGCATCGACCTATCCGTATGTCCATCCGCTCCTCTGACCCCGTTCAACGCTAAGCACCATCTTTGCACTGCAGATGGGAGCTCGGTGTCATCGCGGAAGCACAGCTTGAGGTGCAGACGCCCTCGCTAACTGCATGGGCAAAGGGGAGTATTCCAGTCCCCGTGAGCCCCGAGATCCCGGTCGAGGTGTACGAAATCACAAAGAAGTTAGTGGCCCAGTCTTGAACGCAGCTCCTGGGTGCATGCTCATCATGAACAGAGTAGTGGATGCCAAGCCTGCGAACCTGACTGAGCTTATCCTGGATGGTGGAGCGGGCGACCCAGCTTGTAAGTATAAACTCATTGGCGAATCGGCACTGTAGTGATGAATCTGCGCTTGACAGCTCTCGCACTCGTGGACCTGCTCTTCAACTCGCGTCTGGACAACGAGATGTGGGCTACGACAGCCGACCAGGAAATCGAGTATCTCTACAATGAGGTGCCGCAGACGGAGGATGGCGGGATTTCGCATCGTCACGAGCAGGCGGACTTTGTCTACACGGTGAGTCTATTCATATAGCTACATTATGTAAGCGTCGCTGACTAAACTTTAGGCGCCGCCGTTCATTGCCTACTACGGTGCCGTTTCCGGCGTCAGCGACGCCGCCGATTATCTACGCAACGCGCCGCCTCAGTGTGCAGTTTACCGCGAAGTTCTCTACGACGCTGACGTGAGCCTGTGGGAACACATCCTCTTCGGTAACTTCCAATTTACCAAGCACTAGGGCACCGGTGCGTTTAAGCCTCCATACTCTTGCGTTGCTCTCTCATACTGAACGCACGTACATAGGCAACGGTTGGGCTGCTCTTGGTATGGTGCGCACTCTCACGACCATCCAAGCCTCGGAGAACGCGGACGAGCTCAAGAGCGGGCAGCAGGATCTCATCGACTGGGTGGATGAGATCTTGATTGGCGGCTGGGTGTGGCAAAAGGCCAACGGCACGCTCTACAGCACCATTGGCGGCGACGACTTCGCCGACACGTCGGGCACCGCCGCAATCGCTGCCGCGATGTACCGCCTTGCACGCATCACCGGCAATCCTATCCACATCCCCGCCGCCGAGCGCGCGTACGAGTTGATCGCCGCTAGCGTCAATCAGCTGGTTGCAGGGCATGGTCAACCCGCAGACATCCAGTACTCAGACTGCGCCTGACTCGTACAGTCCGGAGGGGCAGAGCTACGCTCTTATGCTCGTGGCCGCCCGCGACGCGTACTACAAGTCGCTCTGAGCTACAGCCCTCTTGTGTTCTCACGCCTCGTACCTACTTACTTCAGTCATATTGTTCGCTGACGCAGCCATATTGAGCAATTAATGCCGATTTGGATTAAGCAATAAAGTATCGACGTTCACAGTCTCCGTGAGAACGGCACTATTCGCGAGTAAAAGCATAGGCTCGGAGGCCCCTTCAAGCCAGTCGACCCTCGCCCAACCAGCTTGAACATCTACACTTGTGGAGGGGCTACGCCACGCGCATACCGGTACTCATGTTATGATACCACAGGTATGGTCTGAACGAAAGAAATGAGAATCAGCGGTATACTTAGTACAGTACAGTGAAGGTACAAAGCAAACAGCAAGCAGACAGTCACGGGTAGAGATAGCAATGTTACAAAAATACAGGGCTTAAAACCAAGGGTGATATATCTCCGTCATCTTCATCAGGTTTATCAGATCGGTTGCGGCGGAGATGAGCTTCGTGGCGGTATACACGAGAGTGACATTTGCCGGGGAAGGGTTTTGCAAGTCGCTCATGGCCTGTACATCCTAGTCGTTGTCAGTCAAGACCCAACTCAACAGAGCTGAAACGTACCTGTTCGCGCTCAGTCTTGCAGCCCATTGTCTTGGCATGCTTGACGACTTGCTCGATCATTGTACCGACGTCCTGGCGGATTGTCGTGTCCACGTTCGAGGAGTGCCCTCGGCTCATGAACGAGGTGAGAACCTCATCGCGTCCGTGCAGCGCTAATTGCTTCTCGAGATCTAACTACGGACAAATGAGCATGGGTACTGTGAGCATGAATGAAGCGCTTATGGGCGTACCTCGGACAACGTTAGACAACGACCCAGCTGGTAGGGATCGTGCCCTCCTGATGGATGACGGCCGCGAACTGTTGCGTATTCGGAGTGTAGCGGAAGGGCACGCTGTCGTTTGGTTGGAAGATGGGCGCATGGGGCGAATAGCCAGGGAGCATCTCGCTCATGAATACTTCACCAGTCCGCCGGGAGACCAGGAAGCGGAAGGGTAGCCGGTTCGTGAGACAGAAGAGGTATGTGATGAACATAGTCCCGGCGAGGTGCTTGGAGAATTGCTTGCGCATGAGCCAGAGGTCGGCCGGGTTAGTCATAGTGCGAGCCATGTACTGTTATCGAGTGTAAGCGAGGGACGCTGTAGAGTACAGCGGCCCATACCTTGCTCAAAACGTTGTCCGGGATCATAAACTTCATCACTTCTTCGAGTAAGTCCTTCTTGAGATTGGAGTACTCCGCTTTATCCGGCTGGGGAAGGCATGAGCGATGTGGCGAACGGATCAAGAAAGGGCCCACCGTGTGCTTGTGCTCCTCAGTGAACTCCTTCAGGATCGTCTTGACCTTCTCGCCAGGTATCAAGATTGGATCG